ACAAGCAGGTCAAAGTTCGTGCGTTGAGCACGGATTTAATAACAGGCATGCAACAGGGCTGAAACAGTCCCGGCACGCAGGAACACCCACCACGTTACTCTGACGATGGAAACAAGCGAGTATCCGAAACGTCAGTCCCAATATAACTCGGTCTATGTCCTTGAACCTTCGTCTTCTTCTTCTTCTTTGGGGGATGATGAAACCGATACCTTTTGGAATAGCATGGCTCTGGTGGCCAACTGCTTTTGTGTTCGCCCTATGTACTTGCATCCGCAAGTGCATGTAAATTAAGAAACACAGTTTGAAGAAGCGTGCATCGGCAAGGCATCATTCGCGCGAGGAATTGGTAAGAGCTTGATTGCATTGCAAATTATAAGTTCAGCAGCATCATATGTCTTTTCAGTGGCATTAAGTAGCCGTCTCTTGATGGAATTGAAAATGTTGTCGCCCTTAAAGGGCAAATATATAAAAACGGACGTTTTCGGAACTGACTGTTTCGTCATTTTGGGCCGTAATGGTAAGTTATATTTGTCTATAAACCGTGCTGGGTATCCACGCTTCAGTAAAGTTTCCTTGAGGTTAGCTATTGCCGCTTCCAATATATCCATAGAACAGATTTTTCTCGTTCCCTGGAAGAGAGTGCAAACCATGTTTCGTTTCCATTGAATGGGCACAAAACTGAAATAATGCAAGTACTGTCCTTTCCGCGTAGTATTATCGTAGACAGTTCGTGTAATGGAACCATCTTTCTTTCTGGACATGTGAACATCGAGGAAGGAAAGCTGGTTCTCCCGTTCCTGTTCCATGATGAATTTGATCTTGGGTTGCAGACTGTTCATTATAAACAATAATTCTTCAGCTTCATTGATGTTGTCAACGATCGCGAAGAGTTCATCTACATATCTTCTGTATAGTGTTATCTTGTTCAACTTGGTGCATTCTTCTTCTTCTTCTAGATGGCCCATAAATATATCAGAAAAAGTCACGTTTCACAACGATAGGAAGCAACAGACGAGCACTCTCAAAATTAATGGATCCAATAAATTTTGTTGTTTACACAATCTTCGAAAAAGCCTATGTTACTGCTTTGACGCTTAACCCTCTAAGGATTGCATATGTACATACTTGGCCGGCGGTTTTAACATGTGGGCAGACTGCAACCAGTACCATAGGTAGGATGCCCATTATTTTACCTTAAAGCAACGTTTCCCAGGTGCAAATTTAAAAATAGCAATAACAGCAAAATGATTTATTGGATCCATAGCATTTCGAGAGAAGCTCTTCAGTTGCTGCCTCTCATTGCGTAACGTGAATCACATAAGAGAAAA